TTTTTAAAAATTAAAATCCTCTGTTACATAGTAGAATCATAATTATATAAATTATATAATATTATTTAACTTTCCTTATCAAAATGATATCTTTATTATTGGAATACTTATATTTTAAGCATAACATTAATTATATTACAATAACTTTATGCCTTTTATCCTACTAAGCTTATTAAAGATGAAATTATGCATGTATTAATACTGATCCCATTATTGGCAGCGGTGGTGGAGTGGCATATATATATATATATATGTATATATTACTAGGATTTTCGGTACAAATGCACTTCAACCCTTTGGCGCAATTTCGAAACTTGCTAAATATTGCTCATTTTATGTATTTAGGTATTTTTCTGATTTTAAAAAATGCGTAAATTGAAGACACCAGACTTGGAGCGTTATTCGTCCAAATCGCAAAATAGGGGCCGTTGGAATTTGATATTTTGGAGATAATCGCCAAATGCAGCAACCCAAATTTCTTGTACTGTATGCACTTCACATCATTTACAATCGCAATCTTTTTTCAATTCCTTCTATTAGCTTACACTCTCCCTATATATATCTTGTTGAAATTTTCAATCGTTCATAAAATACTTTTTATTCATCCACTCAAGTTCAAATGCATTTTTTTTAAACTTGTAGTGGATGACAATGGATGTTAATACAGTTTTTTCAATTATTAATGGAGTAATTAAATTTAATTGATTAATTTTAGTTTTTTTTTTTTAGATTTAAGTTGCATATATCTACTAATAGATGGCGCCAGATAAACTTAAAAAAATGAATGAAAAAAGGACTTTCTGCAATATAGTGAAAAAAAAGTAGGAATTGACTTTAAAATTTTTTTTTATATATATATTACTTGTTTTGGTGCATTTTGGCGCCAAAGAATTTTTTTCAAAAGAATTTTTGACGCCAAATCCCAGCTGCTCCTATTCGGCGATTTTGCAAAATTTCTTCGCAATGCAATGAGAACTGCAATCCAAACAAATTTCAGTACTTACGTATTAACGGTACCTTGGCGACAGTTGCGCCAATAAAGAGCACACGCGCCAACCGCAGCTACAGATTTGGCGCCAATCTACACTTAAAATTTTTGTTCCAAATAATAAAATATATATGAAACACTTCATTTAAAATCAAAACGCTTTCAAAATATTTTTATTCCATATAATAAAGATTGGCGACACTTAAAAACCGCCAAGTCTGTCGCCAAGGTACCGTTAATACGTAAGTACTCAAATTTCCAAGCTTATAAACTTATTACCATCATATTGCCTTACCTTTGATTAATAGATATGCACCAGATCGTAACTATACTCCTTGATAGACATCTTCTTTCTAGTCTCATCAATATTTTGTTATCGAAATATTTATGCAAATATTAACCAAATCTTTTGAATTTGTAATTAAAGAACTTAAACCTTTTCTTAAAATCACTGCCGTATCGTTTGTGTTGAGATTGTTTTGTTTGAAGTGTAAGTTTGTCTCTGATGGTCAAAGAAAGTATTACAGAGTAGTATGCTATCAAACATTTGTATTTCGCAAAATGGACAGAAAAATAATCCATAAATTCTCTACTAGCTACTTAATTAATTATTCGCATGTCATGGTTGAGTTTCTTAATCTGTTTTCCAAATAAAATTTATAAAATTTTGAATTTATTCAAATAGTTGAAAATACTTTACTAGAGCAAAACTTATTTTACTGAAACTAATTGCACTAAATTGAAATTTTAATTTCTTACCTCATTTAGATGTCTTCGGGTTTTTTTTATTTTTTTATTTTTTTTAATATTTTTTGTAAAATACCAAAACTCGTGAAATGATATTTCAAAACTGAGCTCAGTTGTATTTTAATAAAATACCTCGAGAATTGAAAAATCCGGATTTTATCAATTGGCACATCTCAAGGACATATTTAAGGTTTAAATGTGGTCATAATTATTTGATAACTAGTATTTCCTTTTCATCATGTGTGAGTATGATGTTGTCCTGGTTAGGGGTCCATGACGTTATCCGAAAATGAGGGCCAAGCAAATAAAACTCCATTGCAAATTTTCGCGGAAAATGGTACTTTGGGCCCTTTAACTCTTGAAATGCTTCATGAATAACGTTAGTTTTCAGGAATTTTTTGGAGAAGTTTTGATTCTTTTTTGCTTGAAGTGTTTCGTAGTATGGTTTTGAAGTACTTTTCATGCTTTGGATTGGGATTTTAAACATTTGTATTTCCAATGGCTATAAATACTCGTAGTGCGTTGATCAATTGCTTCTTTTTGAAGTTTCATATTTATCACTTTTGACATTTTCCGGGGCCTATTGAGCTGTATAGTGCTTCTTATTGTATTTGGAATACTCCATTCTTCATTTACGACTAGAATTTTCAAACTTAATTTATTATTTTGGCTATTGAATGTGATAATGTTTCTTGTAGAATTTTAAATACTTCATTCTTCATTTGCAACTACATTTATCTTACTTTTGTGTATAGAGATTCTTGAACAATTAATTCTTCATGAAGTTCATGATCTATTCAAATTGCTATAATCCATGTGGCTATTTAATTTGACCATTCTTATAGTATTCCAATCAATTGCTTCATATATCTCTTGCATTATTAAACATTGGCATATTCCTGAGTTTATTTATCCGTTCTCCTATGTTCGCACACATCATAAGTTGAATTTTGCCGAGCAGATTTCAGCATTTTTTTTTTTTTTTTTTTTTGGTCTTGATGTTTCTCATTTTGGGTTGCACATTAAGACCAATTGATACATCTCAAGAGCATATTTAGGGTTTAAATTTGGACATAATTGTTTGATAACTAATTTATATTTCCTTTTTTTTTTTTTTTCTTAATAGCATCTTTTTGAAAAAGTTATGCTTTCAATATTTTGAATAGCGTTTTCGTTTACTTTAATTAAATCGGAAAATGTCAGAACAATATTCCCTTTTTTCAGCGAATTAATTATATTCCACTGAACTAAGAAAAAAATATAAATTATGAAAAGTACGCCCGTTTGTTTACCTTTTAAAAAAAAAAGGATAATAAGTTATGCCGCGGGAAAAGAAGAAATACAAAAAGATGCATTTAACTCATTACAAGAAGAATAAATAACGGAGTTCTTTTTTTCTACTTCTTGAATGTTTATCTGCCATTTGTCAAAGTGATTGTTGCTTCGAATTATCGTGACTTCTTGATCACATTTCATTAAAACAAAGAACTATAAAGCAATGCTTCAACATAGTCTGTGTATTATTATTCTAATGTCGTTCATTCAAATCACTTCTACTGGATAGATCAGGATTAAGAAAATGACTCAGCAAAAGTTTTCAAAGGTAACTGCTTTCATTCTGTTTTACTTACTCAATTTTTAACATTAGATTCATACATCGTTTTATTATAAATATGATTTTATTGTACATCTATGTATAAATATGATTTAAAATTATAAATATGATTATAATTATAAATATAAATATTTAAAATTAATTTTAATTTATATAATTATAATAATAATTATTTTATTGTATGATTTTAATGTACATCTACGTATAAATATGATTATAAATTACAAATAGAATTGTAATAATTATTATTTTATTGTATGATTTTAATGTACATCTACGTATAAATATGATTATAAATTACAAATAGAATTGTAATAATTATTATTTTATTGTATGATTTTAATGTACATCTACGTATTAATATGATTATAAATTATATATATATATATATATATATATATTAATTTTTGTGCTTTAGCATATTTTAACAACTACAATTCGAAATCATTTTTTTTTTTTTCGTCAAAAAGATTCTACTTAAAATGATTTTTAAAGAAAAAATAGAAAAGGAGATGAAACAATTATTTAAATTAAAAACCTTAATTAAAGTTAAATTCACATTATTGTAAAGCCATTAAAAATCTACTTATTCTGATGTTTATTAAATGACCAGGAATAGTTTATTCTGGGTTCAAAAATTGAATACAAAAACTTAAGTTTAAAGTAACGATTTTTAGATAGATAATATAATTTTTTCTCCCTAGTGCGCATGCTCATAGGAAACTTAGCATGCGCGCTTAACGGGCGTCCTATGGTAAAATATATATATATACATATATATTTCAATCAATCTAGTAGACCTTGAATCTGGTAGGTTACTACTGTGCCATCAAGGCATCATATCTTCATGATGCACGTATTTTTGACGTTTTCTCTACCTATGAACTCTTTTTCTGGGTTCCTTTTTAAAGAATTAAAAAAATCTAAACAAATTGTCCATTAAACTGTTTATCAGATTTTAATTTATTTAAATGAATTGAAATTTGTGCGAACAAAATTAAATTTTAATTCTGGAGTAAGTAATGTAAAAATTGAATCGCATTCGCACGGAATAAATAATGTTAAAAATAAAGCAAAACTTTTATGGCTTTAATTATTATGCAAATCTTTCCCTGTATATTTTTTTAATTTTTGTGTTATAACAACTACAATTCGAAATCATTTTTTTTTTTGTGTATCAAAAACATTCTACCTCGAATGGTTTTTAAAATTAAAATAGAAGAAAAGATTAAACAATTATTTAAAAAGCCTTAATTATAATTACAATTGATATTAGTATAAAGCCATTAACTATAATTAAAATTTACTTATGAGGATGCTAATTAAAGGACAAGGAAAAGTTTATTCCAAATTTAAAAATTGAATACAGAAACTTAAATTTAAATAACTGTTGTTGTTGTTTGTTGTTTCTTATCCCACTTGGCTGGCCAAGCCCACGAGCCCATATGGACTCATGATTGAAGAGGAAGGAAGCAAAGCACCCCGTAGGTAGAAGCCTGACTTTTGCCCGTGACGCTCTTACAGTCATAGAGACCGTCCTAATGGATTTCGAACCACTAAACATCCATGGCACCGCCGGGGATTCGAACCCGAAACCTGTGGCACCGAGCGCCAGAGCGCTAGACACTCGGCCATTCAGGTCCCAAATTTACGCAGTGTTCCCAGGTGGTCGTCACCCAAATTACTGACCGCGCCCAATGATGCTTTTCGGTGATCTAACGAGAACCGGTATATTCAGCATGGTATGGCCGTAACTGTTTTTAGATAATAGATTTTCTAGTTAAACGTGCCACAAAAAAAAAAAAAAATTAAATCAATCCAGCAGATGTCTAATCTGATAGGTTATCACTATGCCATCAAGGCGTCATATCTTTATGATAGATTTATTTTTGACGTTTTCTCTATCCAAAACTAAGCAAATAGTTTTATAAAATGTTTATCAGATAATTTATATATTTTCCCAAGTTCCCTTTTAAAAAATTAGAAAATCTAAGCAAATAGTTTTATAAAATGTTTATCAGATTTTAATTTATATAAATTTTAATTTATTTATTGAAATTTGTACGAGCAGAATTAAATTTTATAATTATTGGAGGAAAGAATTTTAAAATCTAGCGCAAGCGATTGTGTTTCAAAACGATAAATATTCTGCTATTCTAATTTCTTGAATAAGTAATATAAAAAATGAATCTCATTCGCACTGAATAAATAAAGGTAAGAATAAATCAAAATTTTAAAATAATTGGACATTTTATCTCTAGATATTTAATTTGAATTTTCATTTTTATTTGTTTTGAATATATTAATTATTAATAACACTATGCCATTAAGGCTTTACGGTTTTTGACGTTTTATCTTCCTATAAATTTCTTTTCAGAGTTTCATTTTAAAGAATTTGAAAATCTAAACAAATTTTTTCATGTTTATCAGATTTTAATTTATTTAAATGAACTGAAATTTATACGAATAGAATTAAATTTTATAATTTATTGGAGGAAAGAATTTTTAAACTAAACGCAAACGATAATAGAGAGTTTTTGCATACCGTACGTTAGTTACCGTAGGACGTCCGTTAGCTTTTTCTCCCTAGCGCGCATGCTCATAGGAAACTGAACATGCGCGCTAGGGAGAAAAAGCTAACGGACGTCCTACGGTAACTAACGTACGGTATGCAAAAACTCTCTAATGTTTCAAAAACGTTCCATGTTTTGCTGTTCTAATTTCTTGAATAACTAAAGTAAAAACTGAATCATATTCGCACGGAATTAATAATAGTAAGAATAAATTAAAACTTTTAAATAATTGGATATTTCATCTGTAGATATTCAAGTTGAATTTTCATTTTTATCTATTTGAATATGCTAATTATTATTGGTTGCAAAAATTTACTATGAGGTGGTAAGTCTTGTTCCATTTTGAAAAACTTTTTCTTAAATATCTGCCCTGTCAATATGAAGCTTACGGCTTTCAAATCTGTCTTCGGTATGGAGATATCCATAATTGATGAAAAATAACCATAGCTGTGGTATGTGATATTCTAAACTCTAAATGGAGCTTATCTGATTGATTTCTTCGAATTTTAGAAAAACTAAACTTAAAAACCACTCTTTCGAACGTATGTTTTAATTCCTGGTATTTTAAAAAATATATTTTTTTAAATGGATTCATAAATCGTATCATTTGTCTTCTATTTATTTCAATAGACTTACCCAACAATATAATTTATTTTAAATTAAATATTAATCATAAGAGTAGCTGTTCAAATGACTATCAAATGCTCATTTTCTACAAAGTAAAGACAACGTCTCATTTCAATAAAAAAAGTTTTAAAGAAATCTAATCAGAATTCCTCTAAAAAGAACAAAAAATGTAACAGCTTTTTATGAGAAATTCTCTTAATTCAAAACTTTTTAAAAGAGATTCATTTTTGTAAATCTTTGACAAATATTTTTTTACAGCCAATTAACTTTATATTGAAATGTGTAATTTTTTGTAAAATTATCTGATTTATTTTTTACAAGCTTTAAAATTTGTAACTTCAAAAATTTACTTATAGAAAGGAAATTTGAAAGGTTTAAAATAAATTTTTCGTATTCAATGAAATAAAAAAAATCGAATACATTATACTGTTATTTTATACACTACAAACTAATTACATTATTTGTATTCCAGATATAAAAACAAATAAACTTAATAAAAAAAATTAAATCTTCTATTTATACATATCATGCTAACATATCTAATTTTAGCAAAATTTAGTAAAAAACGGGGTTTTTTTATTTTAGAATTTTCCCTTCAATTAAAAAATTCAGAAGAAAATGTTCTTTTATTAATAGATTCATAAATATTTTAATGGTTTTTATGATTTTGTGAAATTTATTCATCTTCAAATTCTTGGTACAAATTATTACATTATTGTTTTTTTTTAGTGTTAGATGCTTACGCTCTAAGTTTATAGCCAGTAAGCAAGCTAAAGTATATTTTTCACAGCCTAAAATCTCACGTCAACCAATAAGAATTCTAAATGTGAAAGTAATCGGACTAAGACATGAGATTTTTAGCATTTGAAGAAAACATAACTTAATTTGTTTAATGATGCCAATCATTACAATAGGTCAACGTTATTCTCTAGAACTGTGGTGAGGTGTAGTGCCTTTTAAAAGAACTTCAAAAATAACTGCTTTTTATTTACACAAGTACGATAAAAAAAATATTACAACTAGGCAATCCGATAACTAAACAAGCAATTGCAACTAAAATAACTAGGCAATAGTAACTAAAATAACTAGGCAGTTGCAACTAAAATAACTAGGCAATAGTAACTAAAATAACTAGGCAATTACAATTAAAATAACTAGGAATTGCAACTAAAATAACTACGCAATTGCAACTAAAATAATTAGACAATTACAATTAAAATAACTAGGCAATTGCAACTAAAATAACTAGGCAATAGTAACTAAAATAACTAGGCAGTTGCAACTAAAATAACTAGGCAATTGCAACTAAAATAACTAGGCAATAGTAACTAAAATAACTAGGCAATAGTAACTAAAATAACTAGGCAATAGTAACTAAAATAACTAGGCAATAGTAACTAAAATAACTAGGCAATTAGTAACTAAAATAACTAGGCAATTGCAACTAAAATAACTAGGCAATTGCAACTAAAATAACTAGGCAATAGTAACTAAAATAACTAGGCAATTGTAACTAAAATAACTAGGCAATAGTAACTAAAATAACTAGGCAATAGTAACTAAAATAACTACGCAATTGCAACTAAAATAATTAGACAATTACAATTAAAATAACTAGGCAATTGCAACTTAAATTACTACCTTTGCTCATGAGTGAGACTCCTCAAGTGTCCCTGGCAAAATGTAATAAACAAGTTTGTTGACTTCTATGGCCTCTAAAAAGCAGAGCACAACCAGGGCAACCTCTCGAGTACCAGTCATGTGCTGGAGGGAGCGTATCGGACTGGGTCTCCGAAGAAACCACCTTCGCTAAAAATCTGCACTCTCGTTGCCACTGATGCCAACATGTGAATGAATCCATTGGATGTGCACCTCGGAATTAACTGAAATTATCCAGAACTCGGAATTATCCAGAAAGCAATTACAATATGGAAAAGCCAGCCCTGTCTCCAACATTTGTCCAGTTACATAGATGTTGAACTGAGGATCGGCTGTCAGTAAGTAGCCATATATCCACAAAATCAGGTTCAACAATATTCTCAACATAGCTCAGGTCTCTCTCGATAACAATCAGTTCGGATCTAAACACAGAGCAGCAATTAGAATTTAAATCTAAATGTAACCGAAAGAGTCCTAATGAAGATACCACTACCAGAATAGCCTTTATCACAGTTTGTAACACATTGCTACGACATTGATCGTTGATGTGCATGTAGCACTATTCATAAAGGAATAACTATCATTATGGAAAATTGCTGATAGTTTCAAGAAGGACGGGCCCAATGCTAGCTATTCAATTGTGTAACAGGTACGCACCCATCGCCAATCTCTCTTTAAATTTTTCCCGCAAACCTAGAAATACTATTTTTAATTTTCCTTATTTTTTTTCATGTGCTCTGCAGTCTCATATGACTCTTATTTTACGTACATCGAATATGATATCATTAGGGATTGCAATATCGTACCAAAAGTTCAATACCGGTATTCGGTATTTTTTAGATCTTAATACTGGGATACCGGTTTTAATGCCGGTAGTAGAAATTTTAGAAAAAGAAAGAAAACACAGGTGTTTTTTTTTTTTTTTGTTTGTTTTATTTGCCAGGTTTATTAGAGAATGTAAATATCACAAAAAAACACTCGAAATGACAAACCATCTAATGCTATCATTTTACCTATAATTTTATCCAAATTATCTTCTTTTTTTTTTCAAAAAAATCTAAAATCCTTGATGGCTTGGGCTTAGAAACTGTGCTTAAGTTTGTATCTTCAAAGCAATTAGATTCTTTCCACTTTAATAATTTTGTATCATGTTTCGTTTTTAAATGTGTATGGAGTCCGCTGTACTTCCTCCATTCAATTTGATAAAACTTGAAAATTTTTTGCATTGTGCCACCATATTATTTTCATCACATAAATAATGAAACCAAACCGAAGTATTATCAACTGATTTTTTTAGGTTCTTTAAAGTTATTCTGATTCATTATTATGGGGTATTGTTTATAAGTATTTATATAAATATAATAAATCTGAAAAATATTTGGAACTCTAAAGTATGATATGCAAATACAATATGAATAACAGACTCACCAATTTGAAAAAATATCGAAATATTTACACTTTTTCATAACTACAACCTTATTTTCACAGATAAGAATTCTGAATAAGAATTCACAGATAAAAATTCTTAATTTCTAGTAAATACCGAAAAACGGTTATTTAAACTTGTGAATACCGGTATTACAAAATTGTACAAATGGCTCAAAATACTGGTATTTGGTATCCTGGTATACCGGTATTGCAATCCCTAGATATCATATTTTTCTTTGGCACTTTTCTCGTAAACTATGTATCTCAGAAATATATTTTCTTCAACAACTTTTATATACTCCGATTAAAAAATTCTCGCTTTGCGCAGTTTGAACGCATTTTATAAAAAAAAAAAAAATTAAATGTAGCACAAGAACCTTTTGATTTTAAAGACGATTAACTTACTTGCCAGAGGGTCAATAGGTTCTGTTGCCTTTGGTACCACAGGCTTCACGTTCGAATCCTGG